GACGATTTTCAAATTATATGGATCGATTTAAAAGTAGTTAAAAATACACTGTTAATAAAAGTTGGGTTATCTAATCTCATTGTTATATATTAAGAAGAAAGCATAAATAAAGTTGTATTTATATTAAGAAACTTTCAAAATAAATTTTATTTTGACTATAGAAAAAAAACTTTAGTATTTTTCCTTAAGATTTCATGATGCAAGAAAAATAAGCTGTAAAATACAATTCTAGTTTAAATTGGCGAAAACATGTATAAATAGCTTAATTCATTATTGGACTCTGTTACCTCTATTTTAAAATATTTACAGTGTTCCTCCTAAATTAGATTTGGTTAGCTGTGTTAATAAAATATAAGGATGAGAAAAGTAGGGTTAATTTATTTGCATTAAAAACGTGAAAACCCGGTACATATGTTTTATAAATTGGCATTAGGTTTAGTAGCCTTTTGGAACTACTGTAAATATTCCAAACACAACCTGTATTTATTTATTCCAAATAGCACACACGTCAGTCCTTTAAAATGAATGTTATTTCCCTAGAGACTTAATTGTACTTTATGTTATTGAAATCAATACGAGAATCCGAATAATGAAAGAATCGACAAAATAAATTTGAAAAAACGCTTCATTTTTACAAAAAAAAAAAAATACACACAATCATGTTTGTTACGTTTTAAAAACATGTTTTTTAACGACCCATTTTGTAACATAATGCAATAATTTTCATGCATCATTCCTGTGTATGCTTTGAAAAAATTCACATGTCATTTAGGAAATTTATCGACGATGAGAGCCTCTGTAGGTTAAAAATATTTTAATCAGATAGCAGCGCTAAAAGCGAAGGTACATATGCAAACTAACAAACGAACAATTGATATATTCGATTAAGTTTATTTTTTCAACTCGTGAGAGTATAATTTTTCACTGTCAGGTGTTAGAAACTTAAGAACAATTGGTATAGCTCGGGTAGTTGTTACACTAAAAACAAACATAAGGTGATAAACTTGATACTATGTTTACCATAAATACTTCGTAAAATATAAAAGTAAAGGTTTATTACATAATTAAAATGTAACGTAATATTTATTGAGTTTTATTTTATTCGAATAAATAATCAGTTCATATAAAAGGGCTTAATTTTTATAACTAATTCTTATTGAATTGTTTTCGCAAAGATTAATACAAACAAAATATTTAATATAATTTCAGGTGAATTACAAATCCGCTTTTTTAAATTAATTCAATTCAGTATTAGGTAACATTTGCTTTAATTGAATCATAATTGCTTTTGTATTTATCTTTAAAAAAATGTTGTATTTCATTGCTAGTGAATTTACTATTAAGAAATACCGTTGTAGTTTTTTGCGAAGCAGGAAATGGTTTTTATTACACGATTCCATAAAATGGCAGTTATACAGCTACAAATATATATATATATATTAGGTTTATTTCTTATAATGAATATCATAACGTCTCTTTACATTATCACCGTTATAGCGATAAGTGGATAATAAACAAAGGAGCATCTTTTTAAATTACATCCAATTCTACTATTTATTACCCTGAAACGCGCAGAACTTAAAATAACTTGAAATGTTATATGTCTCATTAAGATCTATTTCGGTTCTCAGATTGCGTTATATATAAATCTAACAAATACAGTGCATTCCTCTCTTATATTGGCATTTATTATCATTTTTTAACATAATTTTCGACCACAGCTATAGAATGCTGTGTTGCATGCATAATACATGTTTTCATTTCAAGCAGAGTGTATGCGTTTTATATGAAAATGTTCCTGGTATTCTATTCTAAATGTATGATATGGCCTTTAATAATTTTTTTTTACTGACAATAAAATGTGTCTAGGCGATTAGGTTTTTTATTAATATAGGTTAATATATAGAGACATACAATCATGTATATTATATTATTCTTCAACATCATTCCTACTCGTTGGAATAAATGTATTTCACAAAATATTTCATTAAGGGAAAATCCTTTATGAGATCTACTTATTTTTCCTCGTATATCCTTATAATGAAAAATGTAATTTCAGTGTTATTTAAATTCTAAATTGACGCTATTTAAATTATGTTACAAATATTATGCTTAGGGTAACTTAAAATACATTACATGATCTTATTTTAAAAATTGTATAAAACGATAGCTATTTGTTGGTTTAGCATAAAAGAAATATTATTTTACACTGTCTAAGCTAATTCTTGCAATCATTTACAATGTCCTAACAGATGCTAACATATGTAATTAATAATATTTCTATAAGATTTTTTTTATTCTAGTTAAAGTAGGATTTTTTCTACAGTCTTAAAAAAAATATGTGGATTAAATGTAACACGTCATAAATTATTTATATAAAGATGTTTTTTACCCTACTTATAATAAAAGTCCAAAATAACTGTACCTACATATAAGCAATTTGTGTATAATAAAATGTTTCAATTCAGACTCTCAAGCACATTTATCTTTTTGCGAAAAATAACTTTTTCAATGAAAACAAAAATGCTTGCAGGCAACTGAATTATTATAGTTTTTAACAATACATAAATGTTAATAAATTTTAAACACTAAATCAAAATCAAAATAGTACTTATAGAAGAAACAATATAATTTTTAGTGTTAAAAATCTATAATTATATAAACTAACCAAATTAAAACATTTACAAAGTAATGTGTTGTTTCTGTTTGTCTAAAATATACATGTGTATTTAGAAAAAATATAACTTAAATGTATTATTTATTTATTAATAAACTATAGTATATTTTTCTTATAATATGTTTTAAGAAGCCATTTTTAAAAGTTTTCAAACTCAACAAAGTTTGAGGTAATTTTTATTTTATAATTCACAAAAACAAAAATAACATCAAAACTTTTTTTAAATGAGATTCAGTTATATAAAAAAAAAATTTTAATTTCACTGCAGACTAAGTACCTTCCAATATTAGCGTTTAATGTTTTATAATTTGTTTATCATAAAGTATTTGAAGCTTAAAAAATATTATAACATATCAATCGTAAACAAAAAACATAACTAATTAATCTAATATTAATTAACGAAATATTTTATATAAAGTACAACAGAATGTATAAAATATAATAACTAATTTATTTATATGAATTTGATTTGAATAATTATCAAGTGTAAAATTGTTTTTTATTAAAACAAAATAAATTAAATAGTTTTATGTTATTACTTTAGTTAACGCTCGAACTGAGCTCATCCCAATAAATTCTTTTTTTTCATTAAGAATAAGTTTGTGTATATAAAAAATAAAATCTCCGCTTATATTTTCATTATTCTTTTTAAAGTACCGTTTTTCACTTTGATAATAATAATAAGATTCTTAACGAATTTTTTTTGTGGAAAATGTTATTGTACAATAAATAAATATGTACACTATCGTAAAAACTACAAAAAAATTAATAAAACTGTCATATGATTAAACTTAGTTATTGTATTTTTAAAATGATTTTTGACTCTCAACCCAGCCAAACCATTTTTAAATACATAAAACTCTATACTCTAGTACAGCTTAATCGTGTGCGTTTGATTTAAAAAATTGATTTAATAATAAAGGGTTACATTATTTCTAAAATTAAATCAAGAAAATAAAAGTACTGAAAATCAGTGACCATAATGTGTTCGCGGACTATCCAATAAATAGTCCAAACACATAAATGTAAATGGACATTAGCGCGACTTTAATAACAAATTCAACATTTGTCTATAAACTTTTTTCGTTGCAGACATTACTTGCTAGAGATTTTTATCCCAAAGTGTTACTTTGAAAATTAGAAATTCGCTTCAAGTACTGATCACATATTCTGTTCACTAATCACTTGTCGTTTATGATTGAGATCGAAAACCCTTCGGTGCGTTTAGATCGTCAGTCAGATTAACGACGTTAATGTGTTTTCTTTATGACCTTCGTCCGCCGAGATATCTAATAATTCACCCAAAAGTATAAGTTGAATCGACAGGGCTCGTTATTCGAAGAATTCAGAAAATGTTTCCCCTCACGATCTATTTATAGCATTTCACTTTCTAGTGTAGTTGAACGTTATTAAGCAATACTCAACTACAAATTTTCATTATAAATAAAGATTTTAGCTAAAATAACAATGTTAGGTCATTGAGCTTAATAAGTGGTTCATTGCTAATAAAGAATGATGTTTAAATTAAATTTTATTGATAGAATTTTTGTTTTATAATGAATGAAAATGTGTTAGTAAATGTAAAATCTCCATACTTTCTAATATAATTTGAAAAAAAGAAATAAGGGAAAAAATAAAACCGTAGTTTTGTTCTATACATACTATAATAATACTCAAGGTTGTGAAAAAACATGCTTTTCTTTTTAAAAACCTATTTAATACGTCCCATAAGATAATACTTAAATATTTATTGCCAAAAATTTTTTTGAAGCATACCAATTTATATGTTTGCCGAAAAATGAATATGATAGTATTTAAAACTTTTAAAGTCAAGAAAAATTGTCATTTTGTTTAGATCAACAATCTAAATTTTTATTATAATGATAAAAAATATTCAATAAAATTTAGCACACGTTAAAGTAAAAAAATGATAGCTTTTATAAAATGTTTAAAAATGAGTAATATTATGAATTACATTTGGTTGTTATTTTTATATTAGAAATTAGAGGATACAATTCCGGATTTACTTATGTTGTCAGTAAAAAAATAATAATTATTAATAATTGTTGTTATTTTCTTACAAACTAACGTATTTGTAAAACTTTTTATTCTAATCGTTTTAATTATTTTTTCAGGCATTTAAAAAATTAAAAATAGCTAAACGTCATGCAGCGATTGCTCCTGAACAAAAAGGTTATGACAACGAAGCCGTCGATAACTTGATCAATGAATTTATGGAGACCATTAGTCTTAAAGGTATCGAGAAAAGAAAGTTTTTGGAAACGCCACTTTAATCATATTAATTATAATAAAATTGACTCACCTGTAACTATGTACATCAGTAAACTGTATAAACCTCAGGAGAGTTATTTTATTAAAATTCACGCCGACATAATGGTAACTAAGACTTGAGTGTCGAGAACAGATGACGGAGCGGACTACGATCTGAGACTGAACTACTGTCGCTGGTCAATAACAGAAATACGTTGTAGGGCGCCTAGCAGTCGGCTGGCATGCGCCGTTAGTACCGGCAAACAAACGCGCATGGCACAGCACGTGATGGTATACATGATATAAATTATTACTGCTGTACTTCATAATTAATATGATTAGTTTTCAAAAAATGAATGAAACAAAAAATTCATGTTTTACCACCTGACCTTGATAGCAGTTCATTTCAATCGCATAACGTCAATGGCGAACTCGCATGTCACAAATGCATGTCAGATTTACATTAAGCAAAATATGAAAACTTCTTTTAACAAAATTCCGAACTAAATCATAAGTGTGTATTTACGTGATTCCAAAAAATTATAATTATTGTTAAATATTTAAAATAATATACTATTTAAATTATTAAACTTAATTATTATTTATTTAAATTAATCAATTAATACAAATAAGTGTAACTTTAATTTTTTGGGTTTGTAATTATGTATTGTGAAATTTCTTAATTTGTATATAAAATGTAATTGACCAATGATATGTATGACTGTATAAATTATATTTTTATATATCAAATCTAGTATAGATTAATGATTAAAAAGTCATTAACATTAAATTATCAAATATTTAATGGGCGTCATTATCCCATGACGCCCATTTTATGATTTTATAAAAATAAATAAATTTCGTTGTAGATGGTTAAAAAATAAAAGTAACATAATTAACTTGTAGTGGAAAATTTAAAATTAGTAATACCTCAATATTTACATAATTTATCAAAATCAAATGAAAAAAAAAACCCATTACTGAGACTCATATATTAGACAAATAATTAAAGAATGTTTCAGATAAAAAGTAAAATGACTTTACCAGTGAATGAATAATTAAGAGTTTTTCAAATTTTAAAGTTCTCTATTAATTTATATTTGTCCTCTAGAAAATCCTATACAATAATAATATAAAAATATTTATAATAAACTAAGACAAATTTTANTCTCTATTAATTTATATTTGTCCTCTAGAAAATCCTATACAATAATAATATAAAAATATTTATAATAAACTAAGACAAATTTTAAATCCATAATTTAATTATGTAAATTAGAATTTTCCAGTGAAAGATATTATACCAAAAAATTGTGATACTGCAGTAAATTGTAATTGAGATATATTCTTTGTAATAAAAATTGTGTATAATGACAATGTTACCCTGTGCTAATAATATCTTTAATGTATTTATTGTAATTAATCATATATTATATTATTATGTTTAGAAGAGATGCTTGGTTTTATGAAAAAAATATTGTACAAATTCTTTTTTCTTTTTTAAAAACCAATGAATTAACTGAGAAAAATTAAGCAAAACTAAAAAAAGTTTTTTTGACATACATACTTTTAATTCTAATAAATTCAAAATTAATAAAGAGCTAAATTATCACGCTTTTAATTATTAAACTTGTCTAGGTACATTCAAAATATTTTCACTACAAAATAATATACTGTCTAATATAAATTTAAATGAAATAACAGAGGTACCAAGTACATTTTTAATAATGCCAGCTAGAAGAATTTAATGTAGAAAATGTATTTATGTCTAAAAGTATATATAAGTTAGAAATTAAGTACCAATTTGAAAAAATGATAAAGGTTTTAACATATTTCATACAATTACAGCTCTAAAAAATTCAGTTAATGTTCATGTTGACAGCATAATTAAACTTGAATACTGAGCTAGAATTATCTAGTATACTATAATATTGAAATCTTATTTAACTTCATACTTATAAAGTCCATATTAAATTTAAATAACTACAACATTAACAACATAGAGTTTACTTTTAAGTTTAATTTTAACAGAAAAAAGAATGTCCTGTATTCAAGATCATCCTAAAAATAAATGAGGCTTCAGGGCAAAAATTTTAATATTATTTTTTTTACTGATACACGACTTTAATTTAACAAATAAAAATGCGAGGTAAAGTACCAAAGCTTTGATAGCATCCCCTTAAAAATGGCCTAGCCCTATTAAACTATAATACACACATCAAATTTGAACTTCTAATCACAAATTGCTAATAAAGTTGTAAAAAATAATAATAAAACTAAACTATTTTAAATAAGGCACTGTATTTTAACAACAATAACTTAGTAAATTTCAAATTTACATTTGTAAAAATACATATAAAATTATAACATTATACATAATATTTTATAAGCATAAATGTAAGAAAATAAAAAATTAAAATCTAATAATTTACATAATATTGTTCAATTCATTA